AACCCCCAAAAATAAAAAGGACATATTCCAAAGAAATGAATAAAGAAAAGAAAGAACAGGGAGAAAAGATGAGGACGACATACAGAGAGACCCCAAGACAACAGCGTGAGCAGCAGACAGAAACCACCAACCCACACTGTGTTCAAAGAATAAAGGAGCAAGGATTTTTTGTCACATACCTCTAGTCCCAACACTTGGAAATGAGAGGCAGAAGAATCTTGAGTTCCAGGACAGCCTGTGCTTAACAGTAAGACCACCTCAAAAAGCCAAAAACAAAGGATAATGATTCCTAGAAAGAGCTCAAGAAATGAAGCCACTCCACCCCCCAAAACGTACTGACTCCTACTGGTTAGCAGGAAATTATCTCACAGTAGTCTATATGGTTTGGCTATATTTACAGTTATATTACCAGATCCTAGGATAACTACATTGACAAGAGAGGGGCAGTGTAAGTTTAGGTGATGCTGATAATGTAACATCAAGGAATATTTTTCTTTGAAGAACATCAACACTAAAACTATTCTAGCAACAAGTAATCCAAAGCCTGGCATGGTTACAGACACCTTTAGTCCCAGCACTTAGAAGACAGAGGCAGGCAAGCAGATCTCTGAGTTAGAGACCAGCTTGGTCTACAAAGTGAGTTCCAGGACAGCCAGAGCTACACCTGTCTCAAAAAAATAAAAAAGAAAAGGAGGTGGGGGGAGGAACAGGAAGAGGAGGAGGAAGAAGAGGAAGAGGAGGAAGCAGAGGAAGAGGAGGAAGAAGAGGAGGAAGAGGAAAAGGAAGAATGGGAAGGGGAGCCAGGCGTGGTGATGAATTCTTGATCCCAGTACTCTGGGTGGCAAAGAAAGGTGGATCCAGGTCTGTGACTATGAGGCCAGCCTGATCTACACAGCAAGTTCCAGGCAGCTAGGATTACACAGTAAGACCATTAAAGATAATTAACAGTAATAATAACAATAATAATAGCAGCAATAGGGGTTAGGGCTGTAGCTCACATGCTTCAGCATATCCAAAGACCTTCACTTAAGCCCCAGAACTAAAAGAAAAAAGAAAGGGAGGGGATGAGAGGGGCAATAAAACAAAGAAAAACATTTATCAATATAGAACTAGGCAACACTTAACAGAAAAAATAGCATGTGAAAGTATAGAGACTGGAACAGAGGTGGTAGTTTTTTCTCGTTATCCTATTTTAAAACTGAGATAAATTTGATGGTCATAAAATAAGGAACTTAAGACAATCTCTTAACTGTAAATAAGTTCGGTCTCTAGTTTGTTCTGATGTAAAGACTGAACTGCTGATAAAGCCAAGCTTTAATGATTGGTACAAACATTACAAACAGCCTTATGGCTTGAATCTTGGCCCCACGACTTACTGTGAAGTGGGGCAAGTTACCTAATCAAACAGTAAGACATCTCAAAGTGGTTTTGCAAAGATAATAACTGAAAAACATCTGATGTAGACAGGGTTGACCCAGAATGAATTTCACTACTTTCTGTGAGTCTCTCTAGTCCTCAGTTAGAAGCCCTCATTCTGACCCCAAGCTGTCTTGTTGGTCACAAAGCATAAGAGACACATGGACAAACTCAGCACATATCCTTATTCGTGCTGGAAAACTATTCATGATGAGCAAGCAGACTTATCTTTGTATATGAAGGGCAGCATTATTCTTGTTATATGAAGAGGATTATCCCCATTATCCACATTCTGGATTATTGCCAGCTCTCAAAAATTATTCCAATTAGTCTACAACATTGGGACAGAATCGGTTTTTTTTTTTCAATTTAAGGTCTATTTTGCAGTGTTACTAAGGTCTTCAGAAAAAGACAAACAAAAACTACAGCTCATCATTCCCCATTCCCACACTTTCAATGGACTACTTCACAATCCTAACACAAGTCCTATCTGTACTGCATCAAGGGAAGAGAGAAATTAGCTCAATTAAGCTGAATTAACTGTTATGGCCAATGTTTTCTTCGATTGTTACACCTAAATTTACAAGCCCCACAAAATACAAAGATAACAAAACAAAAAAACAAGAGTATTAAGGGATTATTTTTATCAATAAGTCAGTCACTGAACCAATCAAAGGTCTTAACTTTTGGGTTGATTTATGAAGGCCAAGTAGGCCTACTTTGTGCTGAGGATAACTTTGAATTCCTGACTTCGTATCTCCTTCCCAAGTACTGTTGCTAGCCCTAGGGATGAAAAGATATAATCCTACTCTCCACTCGTGGAAAAAGGTCAGATGATAAAATAGTTGCAAGCAACAGATAACAACAAAATATCTCAGGAAAATGACAGATATAAAACAATTTTTGACATAGTAGAAACTGAAGAAAATTATAAATATTGAACCCACTGAGCCTACCAGTCAACACAGAAACAATACTGCTTGCAAAAAAAAAAAATTAGTCTAATACAAGTGATCCTGCACTTAAGGGAGGGGGAGGGAAGAGGCAATGGCTGAAGGGGGTAGTTCAATAATTAAGACTTTGCAGCTCTTCCAGAGGACCCAAATTTGATTCCCAGAATCCATGTAGGACAGCTGACAATTGCTTGTAATTCCAGCTCCATGGGATCCAAAACAACCCTCTTCTAGAGACCTCCACAGGCAACTCCACACATGCAGCATACACTAACATATGCACATATAATTATTTTTTAAAAGAGAAAGCCAAGGCTGGGAAGATTTCTCAGTGGGTAAGAGCTCTTGCTGGAAAATGATGAGGATATGAGTTTCACTCCCCAACACCCAATTAAAAAAAAATAGGGGTATGGATGTACATGATTGTAAACACAGTATTGGGGAGCAGAGATATGCAGACCTCTGCTCAACTGCCTGCCACCCAGCTTAAGCTGACAAGCCACAAGCTTCAGATTCAATGAGATCCTTTCTCAAGACAGGCGAGCAAAGATCAATAGAGGAAGTCCTTCTCCAGCTTCCACATTAACACACATGAGCACAGGAACCTGGACAGTCAGGTGCCTGCAACCCTCATGCATATACCCCACATACACATACACATACACACAAAAAGAGCCTACCACTAGCAACAAAAATTTTTATTTTGTTTTTTTTTCTGTGGTTCCCTTTGGTATATGTCATTTCTAGATTAAAGTCAAGATGTGTAACACTTCATGAAGACCTCCAAAAAGCACATAATACAAAGACTGGAGACATAATCCGGTGACAGTGCACTAACCTAGTAAATGTAAGACCAGGAAATGGGTCCCTGGCACCACAAAAATAAAAACAGCATAATTGCCTGGCAGGGTGGGACACACCTTTAATGCCAACACTTGAGTTTCAAGACTGCCAAGTCTACATAAAGAGACCCTATCTCAAAAGGAAATAAGCATAATATAAGTGTTTGATTTAAGGTAGTATCTTTACTCTTTACTTGACTGTACGTTTTCTAGATTTGATTTTGTAGACCTGTCTATAAGTATATAAATAAATAAATAAATAAATAAATACTGTAAACATCATGCATACAAATCTATACAAACATACGCAAGCTATACAAACAAATCCACATAAACACACGCAGGCATGGTGTTGTTGTACCTGTAACCCCAGCACTTGAGAGACTGAGGCAGGATTGTTTTGAGTTCAAGACAACCAAGAACTATGTATCCAATGCTAGGCCAGCTATGACTAAATAGTGAGACCTGTCTCAAAAACAAACACAAAGAAAAAGCAACCTACAGGCAAGAAGGTGGGGACAAGTACCTACTTAGTCATAGGCTGAGCTGACTGCGTAGTGCACATCTGAAATCCTGCCACCCCGAAGGTCGGGGCAGGATGAGATACTTAAAGTCAGCCTACCAAACAAAAAACAGTCTCAAAAAACGAATTAGAGGAGGAGGGAGGAGATGGTGTTTGAAGGAACTGTTTTAAGAGGGGGAGAAAGGTCAGACGATAGTGTTAAATATTTCAAAAGCATTTCTCGGTGGCTGATTCTGATAGTAATTTAACCAACCCGAAGTTTAAGCCTTAAAATCAATTCATTTGAAACTTTTCATTGAAATGTAGTTTGGAAGCAGCTGCATTAGACCCTCAGATTCTTCTTGCCGACGTCCCTGATCCCAGTCACCCTCTAGTTTTCTGCTCCCAATGCGAGCCTCAGCTACGGCTTGGCGGTTTCCCTCGCATCACCGCTCACACAGCCGACCAAGTTGTCATTGCTATAATTACCACACCCCCGTCAGCAGCTCCAGGCCCGCGTAGTTATGACATCTGTAAACTGCAGGCTCCCGTCTCCACCCCCACCTCCCTCCAAACACCGGCCCCGGTGGTAACCTGCCAATTCCCGGATCGGCCCCGCACGCCTCGGCCTCAGCCACCGCACTCCGCGCCGCCCGCCCCCGCCCTCAAGCTAGCGCGGCGCGCAGACTCCGCGCCGCCGCCCGGCGCCCCGCAGTCCCCGACGCCGCTTCCACCGCCGCCCCGCCCCGACCGGCGTTCCTCACGGCGAGCACCAGCGTTCCCCACCCCCACCCCGCTCCGCCGCCGCGCGGCCGTT